AGCACCCGGTTCCCTGCCCCAGCACCATGTGCCCCGCCCCAGCAAACTTCCTGAGCAGTGTGCCCCAGCACCCCTCAGCACCCTGACCCAGCACCCTGCCTCCACCAGCACAGCTAGGGCCACATTAGTGAGGCTTGGGTTTTTTTTGGTGGGGTTGTTTTTTGCATCTCACTTGTGTGGCTCTGACTGACTTTTCTGCTCCCACCCGGTTCCCTGCCCCAGCACCATGTGCCCCGCCCCAGCAAACTTCCTGAGCAGTGTGCCCCAGCACCCCTCAGCACCCTGACCCAGCACCCTGCCTCCACCAGCACAGCTAGGGCCACATTAGTGAGGCTTGGGTTTTTTTTGGTGGGGTTGTTTTTTGCATCTCACTTGTGTGGCTCTGACTGACTTTTCTGCTCCTCTCATAAAGAAAGACAATGCTGAAACCTTTTGTGTTTGACATAATATTTTATTTAAAAATGAAGCCTGGCCAACAAGCCCCCAATTGGGGCCAAGCCCCCATCTGGCCGCAGCATCATAACACTCCTGCACCACCCCAACCCCAAATCTAAGCCTATCATACACTGGGACCCCCTGTCCTAAGCCTTTCACATCCCCAAACTCTTGCACCCCCACGTTCACAGTCTTCTGCCACAACACTCCTGCACCATCCACACACTGCAAATCTGTGTCCTGAGCCCATCACACTCCCAACCTCCCTGCCCTGAGCCCCTCACCCAAACTCCTGCACCCTCACATCCACAAGCCTGTGTCTTGCTCAGCACCCCAACCTTCCACCTGGCCCCAACACTCCCCAGTCTGCAGCCCCATCACATCCCCAAACTCTTGCACCCCCACGTTCACAGTCTTCTGCCACAACACTCCTGCACCATCCACACACTGCAAATCTGTGTCCTGAGCCCATCACACTCCCAACCTCCCTGCCCTGAGCCCCTCACCCAAACTCCTGCACCCTCACATCCACAAGCCTGTGTCTTGCTCAGCACCCCAACCTTCCACCTGGCCCCAACACTCCCCAGTCTGCAGCCCCATCACCTCCTCCTGCACCCAAATTCCCTCCCAGATCTTGTACCACTCACCCCTTCCCATACCCAAATCCCTCACTCCCACCCCCGAGCCCGCACCTCCTGTCTCAACTCAGTGAGGGTGTATAAGGGCTGGGGATAGCAAGTGATGGAGAGGAGGGGAACAGAGAGGGTGGGGCCTCAAGGAAGGGAAAGTGTCTTAAAAAAATGGGGTAGATCTTGGCTTGTCCTGACATTTAAAACGTGATCTTGGGTGTAAAAAGGTTGGAGACTACTGGCTTAAGAAGTAAGTACACCATCTTCCTGGAATGAGTAGAGGAAGGAAGTGATGTGAATTCACAGTAGTAAGGGAGAAAAGGTATAGACCAGGGTTTCCCAACCTATGGGTCAGGACCCAAATATGAGTTGCTATTACATTTCAAAGGGGTCACCAAGTGTCTCCCCAGGTGGCTCTGCCCTCCCTGCCCCCACCCCTCCTTTTTTTGAATTGCCTTGGGTCACCAAGTCTTCCTGAATTGTCAAAATGGGTCCCCATCTGGAAAAGATTGGGAACCGCTGGTATAGACGGACACTAACTGCATAAGCTTCAGAGGGGTAACCGAGTTAGTCTGTAACAGTAAATACTTAAAAAAAAATCTAGTAGCACCTTAAAGATTAAAAAAAAAAGGAAAATGGTATCATGAGCTTTCATGGGCACAACCCACTTCTTCAGATGATATAATTGATGTTAGCATAGTGCTTGATAATTACATCCATAAGGTTGACCTTAAGGAACTTAATGAGAGCTAGATTCCATTCCCATTAAAGTCAATCGGGTCAGGAGAAGAGACTGAATTCTTAACACTAGTGAAATCTTTCTCTTACTTTACAGCCTAAAGCTTTGCAGGAAGATAGGCAGTTTTGTGCTCTCTAGGAAGCTAATGGCTGGGAGGCACTTTTGACCTTGAAATAGTTTAGTCCTGCTCCCCAAACACTGACAGTGTGTTAAAATGTATGTGTATAGAAGGAAGAACTTTTCTGTGTTATAGACTTGGGCAAATAAAAGCCTGCAAGAGAGAAAGTAGAGGTTTCAGGTTATTATTTATTGCTGACCTAAAGAAAACTGTCTTATTAATAACTGAAGCCTTTAGCGATGTCACATACTTTCAGCTTTTGAATAGGGACAATTTATATCTTCCAAAAAGCTGTTTTTAAAATGTGAAACAGCTGTTCAAGATGCTAATTTCTTAGGGCATCTTTTGAGGCTGGCTTCTTTTTGGCTTAAGAAAGGGCTTTGTGCAGGCCTTGACTGGTAGATCATGAGGCTTGCTTGCGTGTTTATGTATTTATCTATTTATAAGTGTAGGGGAAAGTTTAATCTACAATTAATTTACCTTTTAAATATGTATTTGCCAGACTATTCAGACTGGCAGAGAGCTAATGTAGACAGAATATATCTTGACATGAAAAGAATGGTGTGTTCCTCTGTAAATTTAGAACACCACAAAACACAAGTCCCTTTAATTAGGGACCCCACGCTATAGAAAATTCCACACAAGACTGAGGTGCAATTCATACTATTATTTGCCACTTTAAGGAAGAAGTTTGAAGTATTGGTCTTTGGGATTTTATGTACCGAATGTGCCAAGAAAACCAAGGAGAGTATAAGGTGTAGTTTTCTTACTTTAATCCCTTCAATGCGCCATTGATTAAGATCCTGAAATTCAACAGCAGTCTGTGGGCTGGAAATTAAGTGGTTAATATTTGCTTTATTGCTGGCCCAGTAAAAGCAAAGATCTTTGAATGTCAGTGGGCAAGTGAATTCTGCTGGAAGAGGAAGCATTTAAAAAGCAATACTGATCAGACCACTAGAACTTTGACAGGTGCAAGAGAAGTACCAGTTGATAGAAAAAGGAAGAAAATTCACTTTGGCTAGATGTATTGGGAGTGCTTGCCATCTGATTGCTGCTAGAGCAGGGCCGGCCAGAGCCATTCATGCGCCCCGGGCCCTGGGAGTGTGGCGCATGCGTGGCCCCACCCTCGGGTGCCTGGTGCATGCGCGGCCCCGATCCCGCCCGGTCTGGCACCCCCCGTGCGGCGCCCCCTACAATGGGGCGCCCCGGGCAGTAGCCTGGTCAGCCCGTAGCTTGGGCTGGCTCTGTGCTAGAGTGAGAGTATTTTTCATAGTGAACCCCTCTCTAGCCCTTCTTAGGGGTAAAAGGCGCATGTCTGTGTGTATGTATGTTGAACAGTTGTGATTCTCCAATATAATTCACCTTCTGTAGTCAGTTACCCCTGAACCAAGGAAGTGTAGAATATTGCCACTTGTATGAATGGCTGACTCTGACGAGACCCACTAGAACAGATTTCAATAGCTATGCACGGTGTAAGACAATGAAGACTCAGGACCCCTGAATTTTACTGTTATTTTCTGGACACGTTGGTTTGTCTGAACTCTAATTCATCAATTTTATACCTGGGGGAAAATGTTTGCAGCTCTTGTGTAGAACATACTGCTGTAGTGTCTTGTATTTACTAAACACAGGGTAGAGAAAGTCCCTTTTATTAAGGTTGCCTTATACTTCCCATTATAAGACTGCTTTCAATTTACAGCGTTGCCAGACTTTTATTATTTGGTCTGAAATTTAGGATTTTAGCCAAAATGGAGCAGTTGTTTTCAAGAACAAGGATAGAGAAAATGTTGTTTTACTCAGATTAAAACATTCTAGAAACCTTCTTTGATCAGGTTTAATTCCCCCAAGCTTTGGACCAAGGACTCAGAATTTGATAAGGGGGTGGCCTTTGTGTCAAGATGTGCTTTTTGCCATCTCTTTGAAAATCTGCCGATTTGGCAAAATTATAAATAAATGAAAAATCACAGTTTGAACATGCCCAGTAAAGACTTTGATTGTAGCAGACAAAATCTCTGAAGACTCTGTTCTCATTGAGCTCACTCAACACTCCATGGAATTCTGAGGAAAAAAATAGTGTGTGATCATGTAATTTAAGATTGTATCATAATGAGTATGCCCAAGGGGTCAGAATTAAGGTTATCCAAATAATCTAAGTTTGTGCATTTCTTAATTCTTGTGTCCTTAACTTGGCAACCATAATCATGTTCTCGTGTGTGTGTGTGTGTG